GCATCGATAAACAGCCCCCTGCAGGAAACCAGATTAATCAAAAAAAAAAAAAAAATCTTAAACGTAACTTAGATGCATTAATGTAATGGTAAACGCAAGAAGCTAAAAAAATCACAAACTATCCAGCTTGACAACCCTAACATAAAGATCTTCCACATGACGAGGAAAACCTATGAAGTCAACAAAATCTCATATTTTGATTCATTTAATCCAACATTATTTAATCTTTGAAGTAAGAGTTGAAGAATTTTAAGGGTGGAACGATTATGGAGACGGGAATGCCTACTCGATTGCCGCCGACGGTGGAGAAGACGTCATAGTATCGTGAGTCGACGAAGTTGAAGGCGATGGCGTATAGGGGGCGCTTGCCCTCGTGAAGCCGGTTACTGACTCGGTACTCCCTCTTTCTCGATGGCGTCAACGAACCTATTGCCGGCTCGCAGCCCAGACCCGTCTTCGCCATTGATTTCCTTCTCGCCGTCAGCGGAGAGGGAGAGTTCCTTCTCTCTTGCGACAGTGCAGAGGCATTTACGGTTTTACCCTCTACTTTTCAAGAAACTACTAGCTGTTTACAACAAGCTAACTATCCATAATTTGGGTCAGTTTTTTGGCTGCAACACATTTTGTTTATGAAATATTAACGGATTGACGCTCTTTTCGTTCAGTTCGACCCCCTCATTTTTCGACTGTGTGAGATCTTCTACCCTAGCTCCTTCTCCTCTCCTGCATATCGTGTTTCTACCCGTGTGATCTTCTACCCTAGCTCCTCCTCCTTTCCCCACTATAACTATGTTTAGCAGTTCCGATGGCATTTCTTTTCTCCTATCTTCCTCCCATCTCTCTAATATTTGGTTCTTGTGGCATTCTCCCATTTCCAAGTACAGGTAATCCCTACCCTAAACTATTGGCACTGATATTTGCTTAAAGTCTGAGTTTTGTCGTTTGGGGCTTCTTCCTTGTGATTTATGGCTTTGGTTATTTGTGGTTTTTTATTTTGTCTCGTAACCCGTGTGGTCTTTGCTCTATCGTCCATCTATGTGAGCCTCTAAATGATTTATAGCAATTATTATTACCAAGAAAAAGAACAGAGAATGGTGACTTCTTTAGGTGGGTGGATCAACTCAAAGATTCCACCGCCAACAGTGATAAGCATCGTCCAAAGCAATAATTGACACCACGGAGTCTCAAAGCAACCTATGAAGCGATGTATCATCTCGAACACCGAGACCACAAAGATGATGCAATAATGTATCCCGAAAATGGTGCAACGACGCATCTCAAAGATGGGGTGATGGCACACCTCGCATATACTTCAACAGCTCCCGACTCTGGCCCCTATGACCTATAGATGTCATTACTACTCACCACTACGGTCTACGTAGTCCACAACTCGTGCAACCGGTGACTCTAGCCCATGTTACCCACGGACGTCATTGCAGCTCACTACTATGACCTATACAGCTTACGTGGTTCGTAACTCCTGCAACTCTCAACTACGATTTCTATGGCCAATCAATGCTCTCGAAGCAACTATCTACTACCCACCTGCTCATATTATAGCTATACAACTGTGTACTTTCATCTTTCCTAATTCAGGAGAAGAGTAAACTTATCTACTTACCATTCAACTGAGCTAGATGACGTCGTTTTTTCCCCTATCAAGGGTTTTCCACATAAAAAGTCAAGGTGTCTCCGTCTCATTGCTTCTTTTTAATCACTTGAGTGTGTGTTGGTTTTTTATACAATACTAAGATGATAAATAATTATTATTCTACTGTCGTGAATCTTTTAGCATATATCAGATGTATTTGTGTTTGCCACGATCAAACTATTGAGACTTTGATAAAAATGAAAAGTATGGGTTAGGATTTTATCATCAACTTTGATATTTTATTGAAAATATAAAAAAATGAATAAAAGAACATGGTTGATTTGTAAATAGTAAGCTTCGGGCGGCCTCAAATGTAGTAAATATGGCCCAGAGAAATACATTTAGTAATCCCACACTTAAATTTTATACAAGGTAGAGATGAAAATGCCAACTTTAATGCAACACATTGGCAATTAATATCATATGAAATAAATTATATTTTACCTTATTTTTCTTACAGCATGTTAACTCTTGAACATTTAAATAGTTAATGCTGACTCAAGTAATCAATGCTGTCAGCGAAGAAAATGGTTAATGTTACACTATTTGAAAAAGTTTTCTCACTTAATTACTCAACATATTATTACAACATCTCTATTTGGATACTGACTTTTTTCTTATTTTTTAAGAATTATTATGAGAAGTTATTTTCTATAGTTTTTCTAAGTTTTATTTTAGAAATAATTATGTTATAGACTGTTAGTATACATTGCCAACACTTAATTTGTATCAAATTAAAGGTCTATTTGTAATGACATTTAAGATAGTTGCAATTGTTTGATAACTTTTAACTATTAAAATGTTGCTTTTAAATTATAAATTGATTTATTATTTCACTAGGCTTTTGACACACCTTGCCATAACACATAGCATAAATCAGAGGCGGTTGTTTTTGACACACCTTACCATAACACATAGCATAAATCAAAGGCTTGGTTGTGATAGAGAAGAGAACTTCCAAGCATGCATAATCAATGAAAAACATTACTCAATCATCAAAAAATATAGAGACATCATAAATATTCTCGTTATGTCAAATTATGTTACAACATAGACAGTTATATTCTTATACATATATTGAGCTACTAATGTTCTTGAGACATTCTATATTGAAAATAGCTATACTTGGCTTTATTTTTACCCTTATATTGAACAACAAATAAAAGCAAACAATGCTGCCAATGCTTAGTAAAAAATAAGATCAAAGCTTTAACATAAAATTCTCTTATATGGCATACATCATGCTTAAGTACATACTAATTACTATGCATTTCATCATAAAATATAGAAAAAAAATTGTATATACATACCACACAATTCTTATGTATTTACATATTTCACACTAAAGTTTGATATTTACATACATAGTAATCTTGTGCATAATCACATCAAAATACATGCATCAAAATGTGTATTTTATTTTAATGTTGTGTTATAGATTTGAATGTTATGTATGTAAATATTAAAATTTAGATGTTAAATTTGTAAATACATAAGAATTGTGTGGTATGCATATAAATCCCCAAAATGTATCTAGAGTAACGATCTGATCTTATTCGATGAAATCCACACAATCATACAAATCAATAAAGCCAAATTATTTTTTACCATGCCTAATTTATCAGGCATAATTATAATTGCTTTCTTATAAAAAAAATTAATGTAATATTATCAATGTTAGAGCATAAATTATCATCCCATTCAATCACATGGTCTTACAAAATGGAGAAAAGCTAAAGTGAGTGACCCCACTCAACCCTAAAATCATCACACATCAAAACCCCATAACTTAAATAAGAATCATCATTATGATGCTCATTGGCTACTCTTTAAAGAGCATTACAAAAAGAGTCACCTAAAAATCATCTTCCTTTCCTAAAAGGGATGTATTATAAAATATAGAATGCACTTGTAAGTCTAGATCTTAAACTTCTCATATACATCAAGTTGAGCAATTAAACTCAACTGCTATCATACAATGCAATTTAGTCTGAGTTTGTTGAAGACATCCTACATAATACTATAACATTATGTGCTTATTTATTACTCATAGCTTCTCTTCCATATATACAATACATAAAAGCATAAGAATATGTATGTCAATAGATTACACTTCATCATGTCAATGATGCTGTGTTCAGTAAAAATAAGAAAATCCTATACATAAGTTTTTTTAGAATATTCTATAGATGCAAATATCTATAGAATTCATATTATAGCTTTCTTTAATGTAATACTTCATTATTCATAAATTAGTTAATTCATAAATTTGTTGAATACACTAATTATGTCTTATTTTGCATATTATAGCTTTTTAGTATTTATTGAAACCAAATTAAAGTAAGAGGTCCATCTATACATCAGCTTATACCAATTCAAGAAATGAAATTAACATGAAGTACACTAATATTTCATATATAGTAAACATACAATATAATGAAACAAAGAAAAATATTCATTAAAAAATATATGATATCATTATTTATCAATATGAAGATTATGTCACAGATATAAAATATATCATTAATTTGAACCAGAACAAGATTCTAAAATAAAAGATAAAACAAAAAAATTATAAGAAAATAAACATTGTAAATATCAATAAAAATGTAGTTACCTTAATTATACAAATGAACTTTTGATTAAGATGCTGTTGACCTCACTTTTGGTTGAGGTCTAGAAACTTTCTTTAGCAGCCTAGGTCTAGCCATAGGACTTTCCTATTGACTAGTCTTAGAAAATTAGAA